GTTAAAAAATTTAATTTTAATTTTTATTAATTAATATAATAATTATTATATTTAATAGAATTAAACTATTACTAAAAATATCAAAAATTTTTGTGCCCCATACACTAAAATATATATATATATATATATATAATTTAATGAATGAAATGCCTGATAAAAGGATTATTTTGATAGAATAATTCATGAAAATAAAGTTTTTCTTTCATTTAATAATTTCAATTTTTAAAATTTATTAAATTATTGCTAATAATATTATATTATTAATTAATAAAATTATTGATCATATTAATTTTCTACTTTATTTTAATATTAAGAACTTTAATTACTCTATCTTCTCATTCATGAATAATTATTTGAATAATATTAGAAATTAATTTAATAAGATTTATTCCTATTATTATATTATCAAAAATAATTAATAATCATACATTTTTATTTAAATATTTCATTGTACAAACTATTAGTTCATCAAGATTTTTAATTACAATCACTTTAATATGAATTAATGATTATAGATTAAATATTTTTAATACAAACTTTATAGAAATTATATTAAGATTATCTATAATTTTAAAAATAGGATTATATCCTTTTCACCTATGATATATTGAAATTATAATAAATTTACCATGAATAATATTTTTTTTAATATCAACTTGACAAAAAATTATTCCCTTAACAATTATTTCTTTTTTTAATGAAAATACAATTATTTATATAACAGTTATTATTTCTTCAATAATTAGATCAATTCAAGGAATTTATCAAAATAACCTTCGCAAAATTTTTGCATTCTCATCAATTAACCAAACCAGATGATTAACCATTAACTCTACTATATCTATTTATCTAATAATTATATATATATTAATATACATAATAATTTTATTTTCTATTATTAATATATTTAATATAAATAATTTCTATTATATTAATAATCTTTATTTATTAAATAATTATCATTATTTAATAAAATTATTTTTATTTTTAAATATTTTATCATTAGCTGGACTACCTCCTTTTATAGGATTTATTACAAAAATTATTTCAATTAAATTTTTAATTTTTAATAAAATATATTTAATTACCTCCATTCTAATTATCTCTTCACTAATAACACTATTTTTCTATTTACGATTAACTTATACTTCAATAATTTTAATTAAATCAAAATTTAACCCTTTAATAATAAATAAATATTCAGAAAATTTTTCTTATAAATCATATTTTTTTAATAAATTAAATTTTATAATAATTATAATCACTATTTTAAGATATTTTTCTTTAATTATTATAACCTTATTTGATTTATATTAAAGATTTTAAGTTAAAATTTAAACTATTAACCTTCAAAGTTAATTATAATATAAAGATTTATTAAATCTTAGTATACACAAATTATACTTCTTTAAATTTGCAATTTAAAATTTTTATAAACTACAAGATTAAAATAAAATTTTAATAGTAAAAATATTAAATTTTATAAATAAATTTACAATTTATCGCCTAACCTTCAGCCATACTATCTTTTTAATTTTATTTATATAAATCCTATAAATTAATTTTATTTAAATGCAAAAATGACTTTTTTCTACAAATCACAAAAATATTGGAATTCTATATTTTATCTTTGGTATTTGGGCAGGAATATTAGGAACATCTTTAAGATTAATTATTCGAGCTGAATTAGGAACCCCAGGACCATTAATCAATAATGATCAAATTTATAATTCAATTGTAACTGCACATGCTTTTATTATAATTTTCTTTATAATTATACCGATTATAATTGGAGGATTTGGTAACTGATTAATTCCTTTAATACTTGGAGCTCCTGATATAGCATTTCCTCGAATAAATAATATAAGATTTTGATTACTCCCCCCATCTTTAACATTACTACTAATTAGTAGAGTAATTAATCAAGGAGTAGGAACAGGATGAACAGTATACCCCCCATTATCAAATAATCTCTATCATAGAGGACCATCAGTAGATTTAGCTATTTTTTCTTTACATTTAGCAGGAATATCTTCAATTATAGGTGCAATTAATTTTATTTCAACTATTATTAATATACGACCACTAGGATTAAATTTAGATCAAATATCTTTATTTAGATGAGCTGTAGGAATTACAGCTATTTTACTTCTATTATCTCTTCCTGTCTTAGCAGGAGCTATCACTATACTTTTAACAGATCGAAATTTAAATACTACATTTTTTGACCCTGCAGGAGGGGGAGATCCAATTTTATACCAACACTTATTTTGATTTTTTGGACATCCAGAAGTTTATATTTTAATCTTACCTGGATTTGGAATAATTTCCCATATAATTTTTTCAGAAACCGGAAAAAAAGAAACATTTGGTATACTGGGAATAATCTATGCAATAACAGCAATTGGAATTTTAGGATTTGTAGTTTGAGCACATCATATATTTACAGTAGGTATAGATGTAGATACTCGAGCATATTTTACATCTGCAACATTAATTATTGCAGTACCCACTGGTATTAAAGTATTTAGTTGATTAGCAACCTTACATGGATTTAAATTTAATAATTCCCCAACAATATCATGATCAATTGGATTTATTTTTTTATTTACTTTAGGAGGTTTAACAGGAATTACTCTAGCAAATTCATCAATTGATATTATTTTACACGACACATATTATGTAGTTGCTCATTTTCATTATGTACTATCTATAGGAGCAGTATTTGCTATTATAGGTGGATTTATTCATTGATACCCTTTAATTACAGGATTAACATTAAATCCTTTTTGATTAAATAACCAATTTATATTAATATTTATTGGTGTTAATACTACATTTTTTCCTCAACATTTTCTAGGATTATCAGGAATACCACGACGGTATTCAGACTATCCTGATGCATTTTTATCTTGAAATATTATCTCATCAATTGGATCATTAATCTCTTTAATAAGAATTATAATATTTATTTTTATCTTATGAGAATCATTAATTTCTAATCGACAAATTATTTTTAATGAAAATATAATTTCATCAATCGAATGATTACAAAAATTTCCACCTATGGAACATAGATACACAGAATTACCAATTCTAATTAAATTCTAATATGGCAGATTAGTGCCTTAGATTTAAACTCTAAATATAAAATTAATTTAATTTTTATTAGAAATGTGTACATGATCTATAATTTCCCTTCAAGACGCCAACTCCCCTTCAATAGAACACCTTACTATATTTCACGACTATATTTTAATAATTAATATTTTAATTACTATAATAGTAGTATATATTATTTCATCTATTTCTTTAAATAAAATTATTAATCGAACATTAATACAAAATCAATTAATTGAATTAATTTGAACTTTTATTCCAATAATTATTTTAATTTTTATAGCATTCCCATCTATTAAAATTCTCTATTTAATGGATGAAATTTTTTCTCCTATAATAACAATTAAATGTATAGCTCATCAATGATATTGAAGATATGAATATTCAGACTTTAATAACATTGAATTTGATTCTTTTATAATTCCCACTGAAGAACTAAATAAAAATGAATTCCGATTATTAGAAGTAAGAAATCGTATAATCATTCCCTTAAATACACAAATTCGGTTATTAATCTCATCAGTTGATGTAATTCATTCGTGAACAATTCCCTCTTTAGGAATTAAGGTCGACGCAACACCAGGTCGAATCAACCAAACTAACCTTATAACAATCCGACCTGGATTATTTTATGGTCAGTGCTCTGAAATTTGCGGAGCAAATCACAGATTTATACCAATTATTGTAGAATCAACCAATATTAAATATTTTATTTCATGAATTAAAAAATTTAATTAATAATTAATAATTTTATTATATTATTCATTAGATGACTGAAAGTAAGTACTGGTCTCTTAAACCATTTTATAGTAAATTAACAATTACTTCTAATGAAATAATTTTTTATTTTAAAAGTTAGTTAAATAAATATAACATTAAATTGTCAATTTAAAATAATTTTTTTATATAAAATACTTTTAAATTCCACAAATATCCCCAATAAATTGAATATTATTATTAATTATATTTACAATAATTTTTATTGTATGCATCTCTTTAATATACTTTATTTATTTACCTAATAATTTAATTTCCAATTCAAATGATAATAAAATTATCTCATATAATTCTAAAAATAAATTCCTAACTTGAAAATGATAACAAATCTATTTTCAATCTTTGACCCAGCAACTACAATCTTTACATTACCATTAAATTGAATAAGATCATTTATAAGATTAATTATTTTACCATATACATTCTGACTAATTCCTTCACGAACTAATATAATATGAATTCAATTAACAAACTTTATTAATAAAGAATTAAAAATTTTAATCAATAAAAACGCTAAAGGAAGAAATATTATTTTTACAACTATTTTCATATTTATTATAATTAATAATTTTATAGGACTATTCCCATATATTTTTACAAGATCAAGACATATATCAATAACTTTAAGATTATCTCTTCCTTTATGAATATCTTTAATAATTTTTGGGTGAATAAAATTTTATAATAACATATTTGCCCATATAGTACCAATAGGAACACCATCCATTTTAATACCTTTTATAGTTATAATTGAATCAATTAGAAATTTAATTCGCCCAGGTACATTAGCAATTCGATTAGCAGCAAATATAATTGCAGGACATTTACTTATTACACTAATTAGATCTACTGGACCTTCTTCAAGAACAATTTTAATTAGCTTTATAGTATTAGCTCAAATTTTACTTCTATCTTTAGAAAGAGCTGTAGCTATTATCCAAGCCTATGTTTTTTCTATCTTAAGTACTTTATATTCAAGAGAAATTAAATAAAATTTAAATTTTATATAAATGTCAATAAATAATCACCCTTTTCATATAGTAGAAAAAAGACCCTGACCTTTAACTTCTTCATTAGGAATAATCATTATAACTAGAGGATTTATTAAATGATTCCATTATAAAATCTTATTAATATTTTTACTAGGAATTTTAATTATAATTTTATCATCATACCAATGATGACGTGATGTAACACGTGAATCAACATTTCAAGGACTCCATTCAAAAGAAGTATATTTAAATATAAACTGAGGAATAATTTTATTTATCACATCTGAAGTATTTTTCTTTTTATCATTTTTTTGAGCATACTTCCATGCATCTCTTTCTCCAAATATTGAAATTGGAAGAATATGACCACCAACTGGAATTATCCCATTTAACCCATATCATATTCCTTTATTAAACACTATTATTTTAATTTCATCTGGAGCGAGAATTACATGATCTCACCATAGATTAATTAATAAAAATTTTAAACAAAGAATAATTAGATTAACTACAACAATTACTCTAGGAATCTATTTTAGAATCTTACAAAAATATGAATATAACGATGCATATTTTACTATTGCAGACTCCATTTATGGATCAACATTTTACATAGCAACAGGATTTCATGGAATACATGTCTTAATCGGAACTATATTTTTAATAGTATGTTTAATTCGACTTAAAAATAATCATTTTTCTAGAAATCATCATTTTGGTTTTGAAGCTGCTTCTTGATATTGACACTTTGTTGATATTGTATGACTATTCCTATATATTTCAATTTATTGGTGAAGATTTAATTAATTTAAATTATAATTAATATTATTTATATAATATAAAAGTATATTTAACTTCCAATTAAAAAGTCTGAAATTATTCAGTATAAATAATTTTTATAATCATAAATTTATTTATTATTTGTAGGTTAATAACAATTATTATAATTATAATAAATATTATTATTTCAAAAAAAAAATATTCTGATCGAGAAAAATCATCTCCATTTGAATGTGGATTTGACCCTCTTTCATCACCACGAACACCATTTTCCTTACGATTCTACTTAATTAGAATTATTTTCTTAATTTTCGATATCGAAATTGTTATTTTATTCCCTATTATCCCATCTATATGATTTAGAAACCCATTAATTTGAATTTTTACATTCTTAATATTCAGATTTTTATTAATTTGAGGAGTATTAATTGAATGAAATGATGGATCCTTATTTTGAATAAAATAAAAAGGATTATAATTTATATAAAATATTTGAATTGCAATCAAAAATTACTAATTACTAGTTAATCTTTTTTATATAGTATATATACCCATTACATTCAATTTCGACTTGAAATAAAATATATTAAATATTTATTTAATTGAAACCAAATTAGAGGTAAATTATTGTTAATAATTTCATTGAAATAAAATTTCCAATTAAGGAAATAAGATTTTTTACTCAAATTTAAACTTCTAATTTAAAATTTTTATGGATAAATCCATTTTTATTTCTTATTATTTTATTTTATATAGTTTAATTAAAACATTATATTTTCAATATAAAAAAAGTAAATTTATTATACTTATAAAATTTTAATTATTTAAAGATTATATAAAAATCACCTTAATATCTTCAATATTAAACTCTTAATTTAAGCTATTTAAATAAAATTCAAACTAAATATAAAGTAATAAAATTACAAATAAAATATAAAAATAAATAAATATAATTAATTTAAACGAATTAATATAAAAATAATCAACATTCTTAACAAAATACTTTATTTTTAATAAAATATTCATATATATATATTCACCTCATATCTTTTCATTTAAAATATATAACTTTCCCGAAAATCTAAAAATTAATCCCAACATATTATAAAATAAATCAAATAAAAATCATATTTTATTAAAAAAATTTTTTAAAATCATTAAATGATTACAAAAATAAAAATTTAAATAAAAAATAAATAAACCAATTATTAAACCCAAAAATCTAAAAAATAAAACTATTAATTTTAATATTTTAGATAAAACAATAAAATTAATATTAAAAAATATCAAACTATATAAAAACTTCCCTCTAATTACAGACATAATTAATATAAAAATTATTCTAAAATTTATATAAAAATTTTCATCTTTTAATCTAAAACAACTAGATATTTTTATTTCTATAAACAATCTATATAAAAATATACGAAGAGTATAAGAAACTGTTAATCCAATAGAAATATAAAATAAAAATATAATAATTAATCTTTCTCCTATAAATATCAATTGTTCTAAAATTAAATCCTTAGAGTAAAACCCAGCCAAAAAAGGCATACCTATTAATCTTAAATTAGCTACATTAAAACATATTATTGTATAAGGCATAACATAAACTATAGACCCTATAAAACGAATATCCTGAAAATTTTTTATTGAATGAATAATTACACCTGCACACATAAATAACAAAGCCTTAAATATTGCATGTGTTAATAAATGTAAATAAGCTAAATTCACACCACCCAAAGATAAAATAGCTATCATTAAACCTAATTGACTTAAAGTAGAAAGAGCAATAATTTTTTTTAAATCATATTCTCAATTAGCTCTCACCCCCGCTATAAATATAGTCAAAACAGACAAAATTAAAATTAACTCATTCAATCCCCTTATTATTAATAAATCATTAAATCGAATAACCAAATAAACTCCAGCAGTAACTAAAGTAGAAGAATGAACTAAAGAAGAAATAGGAGTTGGTGCAGCTATTGCCGCAGGCAATCAAGAAGAAAACGGAATTTGAGCTCTCTTAGTAAAAGCTGCTAAACAAACTAATATAATAACTAAAAAATCTACTCAATTATATAATATTAAATTTCATGAACCCATATAATATATAATTCTTAATGACATCATTAACCCTGTATCCCCAAATCGATTTATTAAAACAGTCAATATAGCTGCATTATAAGACTTAATATTCTGATAATAAGCTACTAAACAATAAGAAATTAATCCTAAACCATCTCAACCTAATAAAATCCTAATAAGATTAGGACTTATAATTATTAATAATATAGAAAAAACAAATAATAAAATTAATATAATAAATCGATTAAATCTTAAATCCTCTTTTATATAATCAAAACTATAAATTAAAACCATTGAAGAAATAAAAAGAACAAAACTTATAAATAATAATGATATTCAATCAAATATAAATAATATATAAATATCAACTGAATTCAAAGAAATAATATTTCATTCTAACATATAAATATATTTATTTATTAAAAAAAATAAACTAACAAAAAATATAACTATTCCAATAAAAAAAAAAAAAAAATCTTACAAGTAATCTGATAATAACTTAGAATATTATATATATATCAATGACACCACAAATCATTATTTTAATTTAAACTATCTAAGTTGTTAATAGAAAATATCAATTTTCAAAATTATTAAATTTAAAGGAATTAAATGTATTAAAATTAAAAAAAACTCTCGAACTGAAAATCTAGTAAATCTATATAAAAATAAACTTTTACCATAACAAACATATGAATATAAATATAATGAATAACATCTTCTAAAAAATAAAAATAACATTAAAATAACAACTAAAAATTTTGTTAACCTAAGTAATCTTATTAATAAAAAAATTTCACTAATTAAATTTAAACTTGGAGGAGCTGACATATTACCTATACATAACAAAAATCATATTATTATTATTGGAGAACAATAAGATAATATACCTTTATTAATAATTAATCTTCGTCTTAAAGATCGCTCATAAAATATATTAACTAAACAAAATAATCCAGAAGAACACAATCCATGAGAAATTATTATTAAAAAAGCTCCTTGTACCCCAATAATCTCTAAAGAAAATAAACCTCCGACTACTAACCCTATATGAACAACAGAAGAATAAGCAACTAAGGATTTTATATCAACCTGACGTAAACAAACTAAACTTAAATAAATTGAACCAACCAATCTAAATACTAAAATACTTATTATATAATTTGATATTAAATTTTCTCTAATAAATATTAATCGATAAATTCCATATCCCCCTAATTTAAGTATAACCCCAGCTAAAATTATTGACCCAGAAACTGGAGCTTCCACATGAGCTTTAGGTAACCAACCATGTAAACTAAATATAGGAATTTTAACAAAAAAAATTATCATAACAAAATTATATAAAAAAGAATCAAAATTTAATTTTTTAATATTAAGATATTCAATATCTAATGAATATAATATATGATATATATAAAATATTATTAATAAAAATGGTAATGAAAAAATTAAAGTATATAATATTATGTATATTCCTGCCTCAATACGCTCAATCTGATACCCCCAACCCAAAATTAAAAATAACGTAGGAATTAATCTAGCTTCAAATATAATATAAAATATTAATAAATTTAATACCCTAAAAGATATAACTAAAAAAAATAATATGAATATCAAATTCACAACAAATAAAAATAAAAAATTTTTATATTTAACTACCTTTAACCTTGCTAATATTATTAATAAAATAATCCAAATAGATAGATTAATTATTCAAAATGAAAAAAAATCTAAACCAAAATCATAATAAATTGCATAAAAGTCTATTATATTTAACTTAATATATCTATAATTAACAATAAAAAAAATTAATAATATAATTATCATATTTTGAAACAAAATATTTAATATATTATTTTTATTAATAATTAAAAATAATAATTTAATCAATAAAATAATTAAAATATATTTTATCATTTCAATACTCTTAAAGAACTTAAATAATCATTTCCTTCACTTCGTATAATAATAATTATAATAGTAAGTCCTATTACACTTTCATTTACCGAAAAAATTAAATAATATAAAGAAACAAATTGATTAACATTAAGTATTCTAAAATACATAAATAACACATAAAATATTATAATAACAAAAAATTCTAGTCTTATTAAAATTAATAAAATATGTTTATTAAATTTAATAAAAATTATTAAAATAATAATTAATAAAATTAATCTATAAAATCAAGAAAATGTTAACATTTAATTACTATATAGTTTAAACTAATAAAACATTAATCTTGTAAATTAAAATTAAATCAAAATACACGATTTTATAGTAATCAAAATAGTAAAAATTTTACATCATTAATCTCCAAAATTAATATTTTAATAAACTATATCTTGATAAAAATGTCAATATATTTATATTCAAACTTTCTAAATTTCAAAGAAATATCATTTAATTTTTTATTAATTTTATCATCTATCATATTAATTTTATTAATCTTAATAATTAAATCTATTCACCCTATTGAAATAATAATTTATTTAATTATATTTTCTATTATTATATGTTTAAAAACTAGATTATTATATAAAAATTTTTGATTCTCTTATATACTTTTTCTTACAATAATTGGTGGAATTTTAGTATTATTTTTATACTTTGTAAGAACAGCATCAAATGAAAAATATCAATTAAATGATAACCTTAACATTAAGTTTTTAACAATTCTAATCTCAATCTCTTTTATTTTAATATTTATTATATATATATTTGATTATTTTTCAATTAACATAATTGAACTCAATATAAATCATAATTTAATTATTAAAATAAATAATTGATCCAATAACAATAGATATAATATACATCAAATATTTAATAATAACTATAAAGTTACTTTAATAACAATAATTTATTTATTATTTACATTATTTTCTGTAATAAAAATATGTATAAAAATATACGGCCCATTACGTCAACACATTTAATGTTAAAAAATATAATTAAATATAACCCAATTATTAAAATTACATATAATAGTATTATTAAATTACCAACACCATTAAATATCTCTATTTGATGAAATTTTGGATCACTACTAGGATTATGTCTATTAATTCAAATTATTTCAGGCCTATTTTTATCTATACATTATTGTCCTAACATCAATTTCGCCTTTAATAGAATTATCCATATTTGTCGAGACGTAAATTATGGTTGATTAATACGATT